AGGCCGAATTTACTACCGTTTAGCGGTACCTTCACAAATTCAATTTTAGGAAAAACGGTAGTTTCACAAATTCAACTTTAGGAAAAACGGTAGTTTCACAAAATACTTTTCTTAGAATTTTATTTTTGTATCCCTTAAAACACGATAAATTCATATTTTTGTGTTGATTTTTTAATATAATTTTTAATTTTTCACCTCTCAGTATATAGGTACCTCTAAATAGGTACCTCTCAGAAAAACTTAGACAGACCCCTGCACATGAAAATGAATAATATTACAAAAGATGTGAGTTTTAATAACACATGAAAATGAATACATAATATTACAAAAGATGTGAGTTTTCAAAAGTACAAGATTTTGGTTACTATTCAAAATATAAGTGTTTCTTCAAAATTTTAAATTTATTTTTTCTAGAACATATTTAGAAACACTATCCTTTAAAAAATATATAAATTTTATGTATTAATTAAATTTCACATATGAATATAGGTTTTTGACATTTTCGACATTTTTGACAGTGAGGTTTTTGACGTGACGGTTTAAACCATGGTTTAAACTGTCAAAAACTGTCACATGTCAAAAACCTGCCAACCCTGATAATTGGTAATTTAATACTTGTTATTTTATAAAATCATTATTTTGCGGCATTAGGCTTCTTAAAAAAAAAAATCCTTTTTTAGATAAAATAATTTTTAGGAAATGTGAAGAAAAAAATTATTGATATTATGTTTTTCATTAAGGGGTATGGGTTTTACTCTTATTAATATTAATTTTGAAACAGAAAAATTTCATATTTTTCACATGAAACATTGTTATTTATCCTTAATATTATTATTTAAAAAAAGAGTAAAAAAAAAACATTTTATCAGTAAACGTGTGGATGGATTTTTAGCTGAATCCAAACATGCATGAATTTAAAATGTTCTTTTTATAGATTGATGGTTACATAGCTCGAAACTTTCCAAACCAACAGACCATGATTGGGAGCTTCTTAGATCCTGCTGCTGATAAGCTTCTAATTTCTACTCTATTTGTTACACTAACAATAAATGGGCTTATTCCTGGTGAGATATTATTACAGAATTATCATTTTATTACTTTACCATTTACATTATTTTAAAGTTATTATATTCTATATTAAATGATTTATGTTAAATGCATTAGGGTGAGAAATGTAAAAGATTTCTTTATGTTCTTTTATAACATTTTCTTTATGGCAACAACCCTAAGATATTTTATGTGTCAACATACTTAGTACCTTTTAACTTCAGTGGTATCTTTTAAAATATACAGAAATAATTTTTGTGTGCTTGCAAAATCTTTCTGAAGCACAGTATTTATTCAAATGAGGATAGGGTATACTTTGTGTTATGTTTGAATAAGACTCAAAACAATGTGAAATTATTCATAACATCGAAAAAATGCCTTTATTTTGTGCTTTACATGTTCCTTTTTTATGTGCCTTTATTTTATTTGTACTTTTTTTTTCATGTTTTTTGCTTTTTCATGGTATTTATGATAATTAAGGGACTTGATTATATGCTTAATTCTTTTTTAAAATAATATTAATTCTAAAAATGTTTATTTTATTTTAGAAGTGATAAATAAAGCAAAATTTAAGTTATCTTAATAAATATGTTTATTTGCTTATAAAAATAATGACCTATAAATGTTGATGTAAAATTTTTTTTAGCATGAACAAATATAGCATCATTTCTGTTTACTTGAATTATGATCATTATCATAAACATGTGTTTTCAATTGGAAGGGGAGAAGGTTAAATTTTTCTCTTAGGTGAATAACTCTTAAAAGTCATGGAATTTTAATGTACACATGATTTTTTTTTAAAAATAATAACTACTTATTCTAAACTAGATTCTCTGTAGGATTTGACTGCTTTTTTGCACAATGAACTTTTTTTTCTGCTAACAAGTTGAAGCTAAGTTGTTTACTCTACAAAAAAGGAAACAAAGTTTTGTGCTAATTTGTTTAAATAATTTTACAATTTAAAAATTGAATTTGTGAAGTACATTAAAAAATAACTTTGGACAATTCGACCTATAAACAAATATTTTGTTAACTGTAGTTTTTCACGATACTAAATGCTTTGGTTTAGATATCAAATATTTATTTGACTAATTTAAATGTTGTGTAAGGAAAAAGTATCTTACATGAAGGCTTGATCTTGTGATCGTAATTAATTCACAACAATTTTGGAATGAACTTAACAGAGTTTTACTTTGTTGTGTGCAACAGAATTATTAAAAATAACGTGGTACCTTTAAAAATATTTAAAACAAAATTTAAAATTGTTACATTTTTTGTTCTCATTCTTAAAGAAGTACCCATTTATGTCATAATGAAATTTATTTATTTTTATTAAAAATATGTAATGATACTATTATATATAATTTAATTTTATATTTCGATTTCTTTATTTTAAATATTGCTGTTTTTAATTTTTTCTTTAGTTCCATTAACATCTCTTATTATAATCCGCGATGCTGTTCTCTTTGGAGCTGGCTTTTATATAAGATATGTATCCTTACCTCCTCCTGTAAGTATGTTTATTTCAGTTACTTATTTTTTTAGAAAAAAAAAACATTTTATTTACTGACAAATATTTTTCTTTAATTATTTAATCTGTTTAAAATTGTCTTTAACACGCTTGTTGTTCACAAGAGTATTATGTAACCTATCTTGTAACATAATTTTTTATTTAATACCAATTGTAATGAGAAGAAAAAAATCTTTTGCATAATTTTGTAGTTTACTGTGTAAGAAACAAATAACAGAACTTGTTCTATAAAATTTGATTTTTAGTCAAATTGATTAATTTATTGAAATTTCAATTTGACTTCTGAAATTATAAAAAATTTACCATTTATAGGGATTTTTTTTTTAAATATACTTTTCTTTGTTAAAATTTTTACTACTAATAAATTTAAGATTATGATTGCTTTTTTAAAATTTTTAAAAAAAAAGTTATCAATAGTTGGGAAAAAAATTGTTGGTGTAACATTTTTAACTATTAACGAAGTTTTTAATGCTCAAGGAGTTTAATGCCCTGGAGTTCTGGTTAAAACACTAGAACTCCAGGTTTACCTTGTTCGTTTCATTTATTGTCCCACTTCCTACATCATTTTCAGCTGGCCCGTGAAAATTGCCTACATTGATACTGACAATGTTAAATTAACCCAGATTTTACCTCACCCTTTATTTTAAAATATCTTGCTTTTTATTTTTTTTTAACGAACCAAAATCATTTTTTCTCTACAAAGCTCGCACAAATTTTATAGGTTTTCTTCTTCTTTTTTTTAAATACTTGTTTATTAGCATTTCATAGCTTTTCTGACATTCTTTCTATTCCATACTATTGCCCTTTTGTGTGTGAGAGGGGATTTTCCCCTTGGGTCAAAGTCAGAAAGGGGGTGGGATGGGCAAAGCACAGGAAGGAACATAAATACATAATAGGAACATAAATGTTCAAATTTGCGAGTAGAATTTTTTCCAGCAGCCTTTGAATATTGGAATTAATCCAATCATTTAAAGTATGTTAAACTAAACTACTGGTTAAGTAATAATTTCTTTTCCTTGATTCTGGTGACCTGCAAAATGTTTCTAAGGAAAATTAAATGTTCTGGAAGCTCTTAAATTTGATTTCTGCAGCATTGGATAGTGTTAACTAAAATACGCCATTAATGTCTTTAATAAAGCTTTTCGATATCCAAGACTAACATAGGCCCTCCAGAATAAAATTGCTTGGCTGAAGATCTTCCGAAGTTGACAATGCATACATCGACAACAACTCGCATCACACAATTTTTCTATTCCTTCAATATCTGATTCAATGCTTGCTCTGAATGATAATGAGTAAAACGATGAAGATTAGTGATTTATTAAAAAAAATTTTAAATTAGCAACAAAAAAAGCAGTACATATTGATTTTGGTAATTGTTAATTTTAATATAAAATCTGAGTGAGTTATTAAAAAACATAAAGAATTGTTCAGTATTCAAAATTTACCACTTTAAAATTATTCTTTATTCCAAACTAGAGGCTTCAAAATAATGATAAATTATTAATATGAGGCTTCAAAAGTAAAAACTATTAAACTATTCTTCATTCTGTGCTGCAGGCTATGAAGATTTAATGAATTATTATTATGAGGCAGCAAAAGTGCAAACTTATGTAGTTATTATGTTCAATAAACTTTTTTTATTATTATTAATTTAGCTTTTCCCCCTTCTCTATTTTTCTTTATTTATTTTAATATTATTGATCTATTTAGTTCTGATAATTTTAAATTAAAGCAATAGCTTAACGTATAATTTTTTAAAAAAAAAATTCTTCAATTGGTTATTCAATTGAAATCTATTCTAAATTATTCGTGTAATCTATTTTGATTAAAAAAAATTTAATAAATCATAAAGTTTTTAAGCAATTAATTAATTATAGATTTGGTCCTGGTTTCAAAACTACTCTTCTCATTCAGAGTTTTAAATAATTTTGTGGTAAAGTTAAACAACAATTAAGAACTGATAACTGTATTGGAATTTCATAAACTAAAGTTATAAAAATACAATATATATGGTTAATGTTACCTTTTTGAATTTTGAAAATATTTAATTGTTATATATTTAAAAATATTCAAAGGTACGAGCTAGAATTTGTTTAATTTTATAGTTAAGTCACTATCACATTCTTTGATTTCAAAGGTTTTCAATCAAAAGCCCTAAATTGTAGATAAAATATATCATTACTATTGTACCATAGAAAATTCGCATAATTAATGTGTTATCACATAGTTTATTATATTGATTATTATATCAAGTTTATTATATGGCTAATTCAGATGACTAACTGATATAGTAATTATAATATATAATTAATACTTTACTGCCTGTATACTTCAGCATGTTTTTTTTTAATGGAATGTTTATTTAAAGAAAAGATGTAATACATAACACATGAAGTAATAACACATAATAAAAACACATGAAGATATAAGATTATATTACTCCAGTATTACATGTGGTAGCAAAAATTACAAATTAATGAGTCAAGAGTTCTGTCTCATTTTGTATAAGGAGAAATTTCTAAGACAAAAAAAATCTGTATATTTGGTTGTATGTTGCTATATATTTTATATTTTTTACAGTGGTAATAATATTTGTTATAATTCATATTATATATTTCTATTAGGGTTTGTAATGCTGATAATGAATGAAAAAATTATTCTTATATTTCAATGTTTATTAAATGTTAGTAAATTATTATTTTTTCCTAGAAAACACTGACCAGGTATTTTGATATGTCATTTGTCACAGCTCGATTATCACCAACCAACATAAGCAAAGTAAGTTTACCAAATTATTTTATGTATCATGAACTATTATATTTTATGAACACAATTTTATTTGTGGCTCTTACATCATTTAAACTTTTATTAATAAATCAGCCCTAAAAAGAGTTTTATTTGATTATAAATTTGTAAAAGAGACATAAATTTATTTTCTTCCCTTATTTATTTTTTTCACTTATTTTTAAATAATTAATTATGATAACTAAATATTCAAAACTCTATACACTAAATTAATATTTGAAAAATATCCATAGTAACTATTTTTTCCTCCAACTAATATAGTAAAATTCTTTTGACCTGTTATTTTTTAATTATGTCCAACTCTTACGTATTCTTCATTAACAGATCAACACTGGAATTCAATTGGCTCTTGTGGCAGCATCCCTTGCTGCTCCTGTATTCAGTTTTGTTGACCACTTTTATTTACATGTGCTTTGGTAAGTATTGTGTTTATAAGTATTGTGTTATATTGTATAAACATGTAACAATTATAAACATGTTTAATTATAAACAAGTATTCAAAGCATGTTTATAATTATCAGAGAGAGGAAAAGACTTTTTTGTAAAAAAAAAAAAAAAAAAAAAAANAAAAAAAAAAAAAAAAAAAAAAAAAAAAAAAAAAAACAATAAATAAGAATGTTCACGAATAGAGAAATGTATTAAAGATAGGTCAATTCAATAGTTTTAAAATATCAAACCTTGTAGAATATCCAGATAAATACTGTATGTACATTCAGCCCTTTACCCTGCATTATTTTCTGTAAACTTTATGCAAGAATAAAAGATTATATTAGTTATATTGTTGATGTATAAAAGGATATATTCAGTTATATTTTTTTGCTTTTACGTCATTCATTTTTTTTTATTCTGACATTTAAGTTGAAAATTTAAGTTACAGAAGGCTAAAAGACTGTAACTAAGAGAGAGAGAGAGAGACATTTTAGCTCTGGATAACTTAAATCAATGTTATTAAGTAGATAATCATTGGACTCATAGACTATAAATTATAATTGGGCGTATTTTTATGTTTCTGATATTTATTCTGTATGAATTAGTATAGTTTATTGTAATTACCTGTTTATTAAACTGTAGATAAGTGATAAAATTTAACATTAGCTACCTTATAAGATGTTCAGGTGTTATAGAAAGACCTGGACTACCCGAAACAAGAAAAAGTTGATGATTATAATTTTAAGCCTTAAAAAAATTCTTTCAATTTATGAAAATATGAAAAATAAATAAAAATTGCATTAAAAATATGAATTAATAGTTTTCATCAGTCCAAAAGATAACTTTTTAAACTGGAAAAACCAAATAGCTCAAAATTAGAAAATCTTGTCGGAATATGTTTAACTTTAAAGCCAACGATGTATATTAAGAGAATAATATCACAAACAAAAATCTATATACTTAGATATATTATCTCTTTTTTTTACCATAATTAATTTTCAAAATTTGAGAAAAAAATTTTTATTGCATCGAAAAAAAAAGTTATGAACAGTTTGATAATCATTTCATTTATTGCATATTTGACTGTTTCTCCCTTTTTTTAGGTATATAACTGGTACTACAACTATTTTGTCTGCAGCAAGTTATGTTTACTACAAAAATTCTACATTCAAGTTATTTTCTTCAGCAATAGAAAAAGAGAAGTGATAATTTACTGATCCTCAATTTGCACTGATAATAATTAATATATTTGATAAAAGTTTTATCCAATTAAAAAACTTTTATTATCGTTAGGTAATGTGAGTATACAGATACATTATATTTTATTATTGTTTATATATGATACTATTCTGTAAATTAATAAAATGTTGTTCAATATTGTTTCAAAGATCATTGTAACTTAGCATCTATTAGAACACAAATGGTTTAATTCATTTTATAATATTGTAATTAATACAGTAATTATAGTAAGAAAGTTCTTTTTTTGAAAACTTTATGCATAAGTTTTTTTTTTCCTCCTCAAAGAAAGTTTTAAATGTCATCCTAAATGACACCACCACACTCTCCTCTCTATTTACTGCTCTATTAAAAGACTCGTTTAAATAATTTTATTTTTAATTCATAACTTTACATTCTCTTCTCATTCAATTTTTCATCCTCTTATTTTCTTTCCTTATTCTTGATCCATTTTTTGTCCATTTTCCTCCTCTATGTTGATGCTTTTTTACCCTCCATTTTTCTTTCATTATATTTCATAACTGCCTGCCAAGGAGATCATGGTGCGTAGCGTTTTTAAAAAGTGCTTAAAGGTGCTTATTTTCGACTTTTGTTTTTTAAAAGCTTTTTCATTGGGTGTTTTTAAAAAGTGCTTAATTTTCCCTTTTTGAAAATGATATATATATTTTTTACCATGTCAATTTTTGCATGTGCTTTTCACATTGTTCAATTCAACGTTTTCACAATTAATTTAATTACAATCTAGTTCAGCGTCCCGTCGATCCATAGCGTATAGAAAGCGCTAATCATTTTGCATGTTTGATGAAATCCTTGAAAGTCCACATGTGCGTCCACTGAGCTTGGGGGTTTGGTGAGATTCTTGCACTCTCATGTGCAACTCTGCTGCATTTTGCAAGATATTCTGAATTTTAGGCTTCATTTTCCACCATCTGATAGCGAACCAAAAAACCTCTTCATCTTTTTATAATAGCTAATATAATCAAAAGAGTTCTTAGTCAGAAACTGGTTATTTTATCATGATCATGTAAAGTCTTTGAAAATTATTTTGCATTTTATTAATGTACATTGTGCTTAAAAATATTTTTTGAGTGCTTAAAAGATGCTTATTTTTTGTTGAAGGATTTAGCTATGCAGCCTGGAGAAGCTTATTTTTCTCACAATATGTAGCTTTATTTTTCAATGAAAGATTGATTTTTCCATGATTTGTATTTCGATGTTTAAGAAGGTTAAGACATAGTCATAAGTCATTTTAATATATTAATATCAGTAGTGCTCAAGCGAGAAGTAATTCTTCAGATTTATATAAATGTCACACAATATTTGTGAAATGGCAATAATAACTGACATTCCAAACTAAAGATTCTGATTTAAATGTAAAGAAGGCACAATCATGTTGGAAGTTATGAATGATAGGGAACTAGGCCATTTTAATTAAGCAGATATGAGTAGGTCTCACACATTTAATTTGTGATAATAGACTTTTACAATTGAAAAATATTATATTATATTTTTCCCTTTTCAAAAATTTGATTCTTTTTCAATGAGATGTTATATCATGCGGATTTGAGTAATCTCTATTTGACACGTAATTTCACACTGTTGGATGTTTTTTTCATTATTTTTTATGTCAGTAGTTATTTAAAAAAAATTTCAGTCTTTTCTGTGTGGTTTTTCAAATTGCGCTGTTGAATGAAACACGAATTTTAAATTGGAGAATTTCAAATCAATTCACCATAAATTTACTTGGTTTCATAATCGTTTTTATCAGTCAAATGATGGACAAAGTCGGTCCCAAGAGTGTCCACTTAACTGAGGTTTCACTGTACTTTCATTACTTATATCTTGGGCAACTTTAATAAAAAAAAAATTCTAATTTTAAAGCAACAATTTTATAATTAATTTTAAATTGCTCTAAAATTTTTGTTTAATTTTGAATATTTTTAAGGTCAAGGGCAAAAAATAAAGACAAAAAATTTTTTTAAATTTAATTAGTTTTATAAAAATGTCCATATTTCCATAAATATTTAAGCTAGGCTTACGAAATTCTTTGTAATTATTGCACATAATAACTGTCACAAGTTACAAATCTATTGCTACATTTTTTAGCATAAGGTGTTAAAAAACAATATTTTCTGTTTGCAATTTATTGTCCATCACTGAAACCTCTAAAAGTTTAAGCTTCATTAAAATGTATGAGAAATCGCATGTTCGAAACACTTCTGAAGTTATAAATTAGTTCTCTAAGTATTTCTAAAGAAATATGAATATAGAAGTGTCTCCATTATTTTGTCCATTTTGACAATATTGTTTTAAAATACCATTATCGCGACATTCAGAAATGTTGATATTTCATGACGTATTGTTTTATTCCAATGTCAACACTATTTTCGGTTCCTAATATTTTTATAACATACAAACTCATTAAACAAATAAAAATTATTGTACTTTTATTTGAAAAAGCATCGTACATTGTATAAGTTGTTCAAAAATACAGAGAAAAATAAATTTGTGTTTTGCATTAACATATACTGATGGACAAATTTGTAATAAACAATACATTTCACTTTTCAAAATTTTTTTTTTAACACTTTCATTATACAAAAATATTAATGAACAAATGAAGCCATATAATACCTTTTAAAAGAGACATATGTACAAGTTCATCACTTATTGTAAGGTGTAGAGTGAGTAAGATTTTTTGTAGATTTAAAAAAATCCAATCAAGAATTAAATGAAGTGATGCATATTAAACCCTTCCAGGTTCATATTAAGTAATTTTGTAATATTGGTAAAAATCTTTCTCTATAACATGGATGGAATAAGGTTTTTCGAATATTTTAATGAGTTTCAAAGCTATAAAAAAAGTGCCCACATTTATGATAACTCCTAAGCCCCAAAATTCGTACACATCTTTCAATTTTTATCATAAGTTTAAAAAATCAGTAAAAAGAATAGTTTTTAAATTAAAAAAAATTGAAATGAGAAAAAAAAATTTGATATGATTTTAGCCAAGAAACTTAACAAATTTGAACTTATTTTAGTGCATTATGTTAATAGAAGAAAAATTTACGATACTGAATTTATATGTACAGCGCACACAAAAAAGGGACCATTTTGAAAACCTCTGATCTAATGATTGGATCTTCACGTTTCTAGGACTCAATCTTAATGGTTCGAAGGGGTGACCTGAAATACGTTAATTAATTAGTGCGAAGACCATATTTTACGAAATCAGACACAGAAACGTATTTTCTCTGAATAAACATACCTTTTTTTTGATGGATTCAGATTTTTAACTCCCAAATCTGGGAATCTCAATCTGGGAAACGTGGTCCTTCTCCTATTGTCAAGAGAGTTGAACTCCTCAGTGTTAATGCATATTTCATTATGCATTAACACTTTTATGCATATTTCATTATGCATGCACTTTTTGCATATTTCCAGATTAAGCGAATTGAAAAATCTTTATACACAATTATAAAAATCATTTCTCCAAAGATAATTCCATGCAAAAAATAACTTTTTGTAAACATTCATTATTTTTTTACATCATTTTAAAGAATGTAATATTAGAAGGCAAAATACTAAATTTGAGCAAAATCGAAATCAGTAAGATAGTTCCTGAGAAATCGAATTTAAAAAAGTAGCATATTTAAAATTCGATATCCGAGGAACTATTCGACCGATTTCGCTCAAATTTTGTATTTTTTCCGTGTAATATTACATTCCTTAAAATGATGCAAAAAATTTTATACCTTACAATTTAAAATGTTTTCTATTGTTACTAAGTAAATAAAAATAAATATTTACTAAGAGTTATTTTTTGCATGGAATTATCTTTAAATAAACGAATTTTATAACTGTATGCAAAGATGTTTCAATTTTCGAGATATGGCGAAATTCTCAAAAAGTAAAATTAAGGGGTCTAAACTTCGAAACCATAATTCTCGGATTGCGGCTAACCCTTATATTTTGGAAGTTAGAAATCCGAATTCGTCGAAAAAATTTTGATTTTGAAAAAGCGCATTTTTGTATCAGACTTCCGTAATTTAAAATATCGTCTGCACATATTAATTAGCATATTTGAGGTCATCCCCTCGAACCATTAAGATTGAGTCCTACGAACGTGAAAATCCGATCAATAAATCATAAGTTATTCATGGTGGTCTGATTTTTTAAAATTTTATTTTTTTGCGCATTGTTCATATATGCACACAGTGATTTAGAACAACGGTTACAAACTTGGAGAGAAATAAGGATTCACAATCGTTTAACAACCTATGCCTACAAGTGTCATTGTAAGCCACTGAGTTGCTCTTTCCTTTATTGAACTGGCTGTTCATTTAAATTATCTTAATCTTCCATTAATTTTACATTTTCTAGTAATTATCATCAAAAATGCCATGTTTACGTAATTTAATGATTTGACCAACTAACTTGTCAAGCTGGCGAAGTTCGTCTCAAATCATTAAATTATGATAAAATAGTTATCTCTCATCGTGTCTCAATTTTTGACAATTAATAGAAAACATACAATTAAGATAATTTAAATAGACAAGAAATTGTATAGATAGAATAAGATTAAATAGATAGAAAATAGCAAACCACTTATCCTGTTTCAATTTTTGACAATAATTAATAGAAAACATAAAATTAAGATAATTTAAATAGATAAGAGTACCATTTCAAATGCGCACAAACGCCCCTTCACAATGAATAGACGTTGCTACCGGCGTATGATGACATTCATGGACATGCGTTGGTGTGCTATTCTCAATTCTTATAGAGCTATCTCCTCTTCAAGTCTATAACAGTTATACAATAAATAATCACTGTATAAGAAGGAAATGTTTTTTTATTGGAATTGCTTAAGAAATATAAAGAATTAAAGGGAAAAAACATCCCAGTTGGTTTTGCAACGAAACGCGTCAAATGAATAAATAGTTTAAAAGTGAAGTATGTTTAGTGTATGAAGATTGCTAATTAAAACAAAAAAGAAGGTGAAATAAAAATTTCCAACATTACACGTATTTGTTCCTACTATAAAAAAATGACTCATCAAACAGGATAAAACGCTATGATTCATGAAATTAGATACTTATGTATATATATATTTATGTATATACATATAAATCATTCGATGTACTTAATCTTCAGGTTCGGTTTTCAGTTTCTTTCGCTTGGATGGTACAGAATCAAATCTGTCTAACATGCCTTCCAACCATTTCATAAAACGGCTATCTTCACCAGTTCCCGCTTTAGGTGTCATGTAGTACTGCTGTACAATCCATTTCAGTTGTGCCTTCAGGCATTGCACATCATCTGTGAATTGTTTGGCTACTTTGGCGGGGCTCATCTTCTTTTTAACATGATTGAAAAATGCTTCGAGTTCGACAATAGTTAATTCACCCTGTTTCTTTTCCCTAGTATTGATGATCTCCTTAATTCTCTTGGGTAGAACAACTGGAGCATAGACTGGCTTCTTTCGTCTCGGTGCTCGAATAGTTTCGCCTGAATCTGAAATATCAGATGCTTCTTTTTGGTAGAAGTCATTGAAATTCCTCTCTGAGTTCATTTCAGGTTGACTGGAGGTGGGTAAGTTGAAACTTAGTGCATTGGATTCATCCTGACAACCTATGGGATAAAAAAAGGGTATAATTATGTCTGAAGCAATGGCTGTTTAGAATAATGCAGCTTCGTTATATATTTTATCCTTATGACAGATTTATCATTATGTCAAAAAATAAAGAGAAGATATTAACTAAGATAACTTTTGTTCTAATGATCGAATTTTCACATACTAAATACCAAGGCATCTGAAGGACCACTCTTTCAGGGACACCAAATTAGGTGGGCCAACGTTGCTCCCACAGTAAGGACAGGTAGTACAGAGATAGAAAGAACACCATTGCCTTGCCCGGGATTCGAACCAAGAACCTTTCTGATGCAAGGCCAGTTCCGTGACCCCTACACAGGATGGTTGGTTATAGGGTTGATATCGTGTATGCAAATTACTCAATGCTTACTGTTAATTGAGTTATTAAATGAAACCCAGTACTTACTTCCTCTGAATAAACATATCTTTTTCTCGACAGTATTGGATTCTGATCATCACAATTAAAAACTTGTTTACCTAAAGATAATTCCATGTTAAAAATAATTTTAAATAATTATTAATTTTTGTTATTTCATATAAAAACGGTAGAAGAAATTTTGAGTTGTAAAATATACAAATTTTCGCATAACGTAATTTGAATTTAAAAAAAAAATTTGAAATTTACTTCAAATCGTTTGAATATTTTCTGAGTTATCAAGCCTCGTAAGTCCTGATTTATGTTTTAATTTCTTAAAGTTTTAGCGAAAGTCAGGTTGTCAATTTAGTTAGAAGAAAGTACAAAAGACAACCAATAGCTTTAGTAAAAGTTTTTGCACAATAAAATAAAATAGACCATAAAGAGAAAAAAAATTTGCAAAAAAAGCAACTTAAAATTGCTATAGATTTTAAACAAGTTGGTTTATAATAAAATATGGTTCGTTTAGCACGTCGAATTTCAACTCTGTAGTAGTATTTCTGCGGTCTGCAAAGTGGCCCCTCACATGGTATTTTTTTTACTCTTAAGTTTAAACAGTTAAAGCTTTTCAAACTAACTATCAAAAGTTGCATTTTTCTGTTCCAAAAGCATTTCCGGTTCAATTTTCATCAAACCATCGACGTTTTAAATTTCTAAATGTAATAGTCTCAGCAAAGAATATATAATTCTTTGATCTCTGTGCAAAAAAAAAAAAAAAAAAAAAAAAAAAAAAAAAAAAAAANAAAAAAAAAAAAAAACTTTAACGTAAAGTAATACTCGAAAACACGGGGAGCAGCGGAACTTTCGAAGTCAGACATCAGGACCAAAGTGGAGAGTGCACAACTTCTTTTGTGGACAGATCTTTCTTTTACTAAAATAAGTGGTCAGAGTTTCTTTTTTTCTTCCTTTTTTTTAAAATTTTTTTCTTAGTTTTTTATTGTTAATTTTGAAGACATTAATTTTGAAGAAGCAATTCATTTGTGTCGTCTACAGCCATTCCTCGCATACATATGCAACATTTTCCAGTGGCAAACAAATGCAACATACATGCATGGTACATACGCAACATTTTTTAGTGGCAAAGAAGCTGTCTATATTAAAAATGTGGTAAAGACATCAGTGCTTAAAAAAGTGGATAATTTCCATTCCATTGGCGATCGAAATGAGCTACAGGTGGTGCAGAACAGAACTCTCTACCTATGGCAACACGTAGCGTGCTTTCAGCATTAGCGTGTGGATAGTCATAGGAGAAATATGTACATTAGTTTCTGTCTTGATTTTCAGAGACAAAAAAACTTTTAAGTTAGGAAACTATATGGAACTAAAAACTGCATTTAACATAGTTCTAAAAGAAAGCGTTGTAGAAATTTTAGAAAATATTTTGGTAATTAAATACATAAAATGTTACGAAAGGGGGAAATATCGTAATACATTCCTATACAACTGAGAAGCAGAAGGAAAGGGGGGCTGGGTCAAAAAATGGGACAGGTCTTCTCTCCATATGGCGTATTCGAGTGTTTGCGAATTATTAGTTACCATCTTCAGTTCAAAAAATTGCAATAAAATGATTTCAGAAAGATTCATGTCATATATGATGGACTCGAACTTCTTAATTTGCGAAATAAATCCTAAGAAGGTAATTATTATATTTACCTTACTTTATCTTTCTTTTAAAAAGTCCTGATCGCGAAATGGAAACATTAAGCACATAAAAGTTAGGCACCGATCAAGTCACATTCAGGCCCAAGGCCCACCAAATTTTCCGGGCCCCTTCCAAAATATTTTGAAATTAAATTTCTGAAGAATAGTCCTAACAATAAAAAATAATCGATTGAACTGCATGATTCAAGAGAAACATTCTAAGAAATTTTGAAAGCAGACAATTGAAGATAATTTTTCTTAGATAAAGTTTACGCATCTATATATTAAAGCAAAATATAAAACAACAAAACAATGCTGTGTCAAAATAAAAATAGTTTGGTGACCACAAATAATTGAAATCAGTGATCATTGCTAAAAGTCACTGATTAGCTGAATTACTTTTTTATTTAGTACTTAAACCAACACAAAGCCAGCCGACTTTTCATTAGATTTAACGATAAGTTCAGCATGTACGCTAAGATATTAAGGTTATTAACTATAATTTTTATTAAAAAATACACGCAAAAAATATCCAAAAGTGCCAAAATTATAGCTACTCATAGAAAATTAAGGACACATTTAAATAATTTTTTTTATTTTATAAAGCACTTTTAAAAGCTGTACTTTCGAATTTGATTCGTGCAATGTTGACACGAGTTTGGTTTATCACAATATGAAGAAAATTTGAAATAAAAAAAATGCATTTTTTTGAGAAAAACTGTTTCTTTCAGTATTTAAAAAAATAGTAATATTGTAGACTTTTTACTAATTTTTGAGGGTTCCCAGAAATTGTGGGCCCTAAGCCAGTGCCTATTGGGCCTAGGCGACAATCAGGCCATGATGATGCAAAGATGTTTGGTACAGAAATCATTGACGTAATTATGAGTGCTTTTTCTCATTAATAAATTTTTATTAAATAGATAAAACTAACTGAACTGGGATGATTCAGTGGTAAAAATACTGAGCTGTCATTCTGAAGAACTGAAACTCACTCAATCGCCGATAGCTCTGTTTTAGATCAATAGGTACCAGTTTTCCCAAGAAGTAAAAGCGGTCAGTGCGCAATGCAGACCACGTTGCCAGAATCATGCCGTTAGTCACGAGTTTTTTACCTTTTTTCTCTTAGAGTATAAGATTTTTCCAAAATATGTGAAGTGTTACTAAACTAACAATTGAAGTTATAGGATATAATTTAAAATTCGTTAGTTCGATTACAGAGACACGTGTTAGAGATAAGAGCTTCCACTTTAATGATAGATTATGTCAAAAAGTGATGCGTTTTTTCCCAAAGCGTGGCAAAATGGCAACACTCTCGCCTAAATTGTTTATCTAGTAGCTTTAGATAGTTGATCGTTTTCATTTATTTTCAATTGAATTAATGAAGTTCACTGTAATCGTTTGGTTATTTGTTTGATTTCAGTTCCATAAAATGTTAATTCTTTTCGAATGTCGTGTAAGTATATTTTGTAAAGTAAATTCCGATTTTCTGGTTCTTATATTTATTTCAACGTTGGACAAAATACATGTTCATAAGAGTGACAATCTCCATTTATCCTTCCAAAATTAGTCGAAAAATAGATACAGAAAAACGCTATTAATGCAGCTTTTTTTTTCTTTCCCCCCGCTTAAAGTTGAACTTATTTTATGTATATATATATAAGAAAATGAAGCAAATAAAAATATCGCACTTGTATAAAAAAAACTATGAAACATTGTGTTACGAATATTAGAACTAAAAGCTTAAATAGAAAATTTATTTTGACTGGAAAATTTTTGTTTAAATTTTAGAGATTTTCGCAACTATTAAAAAAAAAAAAAAAAAAAAAAAAAAAAAAAAAAAAAAAAAAAAAAAAGGAAAAGAATGAACTTTAAAACTATATTTACAGCACAAAGGAAAAAGTATTTCATTCGTTTATTCAATAAATGTAATCATTGTTCATGATGTAATCGTACAAAAGTAAACAAAAATATGAAACGCAAATTAATATCTAAGCGAGAACAATATTTGCGATCGCAACGCTCGAGTACGCCCTCTATCGGGAGCCTGTAAATATCAGACATTAATTTATAACATTTTCATTTAGTTCTATCAAAATAATTAGCCATGACGGACGCCATTTTCTTAGCAGCAAAATTTCCCTAAGGAATTT